ACAGATGGAGAAATCTTCAGCCTTTTCTGATGGTCTTTGACAATCCCTCTGAAACCCCCTCGCGACCCCCCATGGGGTCCTGACCCGCAGATTGAGCAACACTATTCTAAAAGGTTACGTTGCCCTTTAGACAAAATGTAGAATATAAAAAAATAATGAAGTATCATATGCTAATGAGCAAAGAACCAGAAAGCTTGTGTTCACGTCCCTTGTTTTTCTTTCTTGTAGGAAGAAGGGAAATGAGTGACAAGAGACTCATCAGATAAGGAGAGAAAAACAATGCCACTGTTTGGCATTCCAGATTTTGATTGACAGCTGATGTATCCATTTTGTCTGCTTCCCAGACAACAGTAAACAAGTTGGCCAATCAATGGAAAGGGAAAAATCTGACACCTTCCCTGACTCAGTGATATTGAATCCTGGAAAATGCAGTTTTGCAAGATGTTCTTGTGCCTCACCAGGACCCCTTTAAAGCAGGCCTGGGCAAACGTTGGCCCTCCAGGTGTTTTGGACTTCAACTCCCACAATTCCTAACAGCCGGTAGGAATTCTGAACTCGAACATGACCCCCCCCCCAATCAAAGATAGTAACTTATAGTTTTGCTAAGGACAAGGACATCAGACTGGATAATAAGGGTCAAGCCTTGGTCAATTTGCCAAGACATTAACAACAACAAGGACCCTTCCCATGTTAGATAGTGTGTACATTTAATCAAGATTTTATGCCCTAGGTTTCATATATAGCAGAAGTTAGCACATTTATTACTGAGAAACCACCCCCCCCCCTTTACACTTATGTGCTCTCTTGAACATCTATGGGACTCTGGGGGGAGAGATAAGTGGATATGTTTTCTATAACATGATTTCTATATTTCTATATTTCTCCCTGTGTGCCTGACCTTTTCCTGACCCTTTTGCCCAATTCCCCTTTATTGAAAAAATGTATAAAAATATAAGAAGCCACCCCTGTGACCCTGGAAAGGAGGAAATCCTCAGTTGGAAAAGACCATTATCAAAAGACACTATTTGCATGGACAATAACAAAGGATCGTGACCTCTGCCTCGGAGTTGCCCCCCAGAGGAAGCGGTCACTTGGAATTTATGATCATATCTCAATAGGACAAAGGAAGCCTTCGGAAAGCCACACCTGTCCTAATCTGTTACTGATTCAATTTTTATCCACTGAAACCACAGCCAAAATTCCCTCATTGTTCCTGTCTCTCAGCACTGGAAAAATTTGGATTATGGCAGGTTTGCCAGCCATC